CTTTTTCTCACTATTCATTCCTGATAGTTATCTTTGAGGGCATTGTGAGAAGAGACATAGCCTTCAAAGGTTTGTTTGTTTTGGTACAGAGCCAGGAGGAGATAACATTGGTCTTAGGATTTTAAGAACAAATCTCATATTATCAGGCTATCTGTTTTAAGAGAAAGTGTGACAGAAAACTGTCCCTCGTGTTTCAGGCGATGTGAGTATTGAAAGGGTGACATTACCACAATCATTAGACACAAACTGATTAATATTATAGCTTATATTTTATGTCAAAGTAAGCTACTTTTGTAGGCAAGGAAACATGCTCTCAATCAGTCTTCACCTCTGTAAGGAGATTGTACAAATTGGCTCTCTGGTTGGCAGTCTCTGAAGAGAGGTGAATGGTTGAATGGCCATGAAAACTAAAACATGTTTTGATACTGAGAAGGGATTGTGCTGACGTTGCTTATGTGAAAAGGACCTAAGTCTCCAGGGCTGTCAAACCAGAACCATTTTTATGAGCAATAAAGGTGGATGAAACATGTTCTCACACTCGCACACATCCTGCTCTGCGGCCTCCTATACTGGAGGTAAAATAGAAGTCTCTCTCCTCACGGTCCTTTATCTTGTGTGATCGAGTTTCAGCGGTGATTAGCAAAGATAGGGCAATATTGCATTCTCTGGACTGCAAGAAGCTGTACCAGTCAGTTTTTTGGGGCAAAGAAAGGACTGAGACTGAACCCCTACCAAGAAAACTTTGGACTACCATTACACAGCAGAGCGGAAAGTTAAGCAGAAAGTAACTGATGTTCAGTGGTGCAAGTATGGTGGTACAGTCCGGTATGCCATACCAATAAGATATTTATAGCTGGTATGGAGTACTGGAAAGACACAGGAGGCGCCCGCCCCCAGCCCTTCCACGCAGCTGTGTCTCCTGACTGGGGGGTCTCCTGACAGCAGCTCCACCGGCGGACAGGGCGGGCTGGCAGTAGTACAGCATCCTCGTTGGAGGAGATGCTGGTGTTGGTCTGCCCGGGGCCCCACGTTCCACTCCTTTTCCCCATTGCGGTTCCCAGGAATCGCAGAAGGAAAAGGAGCAGAATGTGCAGCGCCTCCAGTGAGGCTGCTGTACAGACCCCAGGCAGGAGGACTCGGCTGTGTGGCGGGGCCAGAGGCACATTCCGCTGCAGTTCTGGAAAGCCCTGATCTGCTGGGAACCGCAGTGGCGAAAGGATCAGAACATGGGGCCACCGGGCAGCCCAGTGCCGGCCACTCCTCCGGCACGACTGTACCTCCCCCAGCCCTTCCACACAGATGCATCTCCTGAGTCCTCCTGCCTGGGGTCTGTACAGCAGAAGTCTCCAGTGCAGCGGGAGGAGGACAAAGTTGTCCGCCACCCCACGGTAACATGGATGGATGTGGACCATGGGGAGGGGACGGGGAGAGCTCGGGGGACTCTGAGCTGGGGGCAGGGCCTGGAGGAGTCATGTGAGGAGGTCACATGCCCTCCTCCTTTGTGTCGCTCCCATGAGTGCAGCGTATGGACAAGAAATTATTTCTGCTTGCACCATTGCATGTGTCAGTCTGTCTGTAGCTGCTTAATCCAAGATGGACATTTCTTGTTTCTCATCCCTTGTGTTTTCCCACAAACTGGGGCAGTACAGGAAAGTTTCAGCAGACAAATAGACCTGTTACTTTAGTACAGGGGCGGGCAAACTTTTCAACCCCTCTGTTCCCCGCCCTGACCCCATCCACACACCTCCCCGATCCCCCCGCCCTCTATCCAGCCCCCTTGCCCCCTTACCGTGCTGCCTGGAGCACCAGTGGCTGGTGGTGGTGCTATAGCCGTGCCACCCAAAGCACCAAGACAGGCAGCCGTGCCGCCCAGAAGCCAGCCACGCCACCGCGCAGCAAGAGCCCTGCCACCCAGAGCATTGCGCCAGTGGCAACCCTGGGGGAATTTTAGATTTTAGGGGTAACAGTAGTGGAGGGGCCGAGGGCTAGCCTCCTGGGCCAGGAGCTCAGGGGCTGGGCAGGAGGGTCCTGTGGGCCGTAGTTTGCCCACCTCTTCTTTAGTAAATGATAGCTAAAATAGTGATGTGTTTTGTTTTTGTTGTTTGTTTTTTTTTAAACATACGTTGGCTTAATTTAGGTGAGCTCAAATGCATCATCAGGTTTTCAGTGAGCGTTCAGCTCTACATATTTGTGTAGCAAAAATAGTAGGTAGGCGTGGTGTGTTCATTGCACCTCTGAATAGATTTGGGGTTTAACTGCACTTGTTTGGATGATCCTATTTAGCCGCTGCTGGATTAGTAAATGAAGAAAATGGTGCTCGTGGCCACCAGTGAAAAATTTGGTTTGAGTGACTTGTATCTGCCACAGACTTCCTGTGTGATCTTAAGCAAGGATAGAATCCAATTCTCCAAAACTGTATTCTCCATGAGACTCTTCATTCTTTTCCTGTAGCCCCCTGCATCATTAACTACAGAATTTGAAAGGTGTGTCGTGAATGAACCATTGGTCTTACAAACAGCCTCATTGACTACACAATCCTGATTGATTCCCAGAATGCAGTCTGTCCTGTGCACTGAATGAGGCAGTGTACTTGTGGCAAAAAAAAGTATGTGGTCATGTAATTAAAGACTGTATCGTACTGTGTATTCACGAGAGGGCTGAATTAAGATTGCATGGATGGAGCATACTGTATTTGGTGTAGACAGCATAATCAGTAGAAATGGAACGTTGAGAGAATTTTATTGTCAACTCTAACAGACCTCTACTGAGCATGTGGAAACAGCAATTTTCAGAGGCTTATAACTCAGACAAATCTGGGTGGGTTTTTTCTTCTCAAGCAAAAGCTGTCCCCAAAAACGATTAGCAAAACTCTGCTCCAGCGTATGAAAGTGCTAGAGCTGCTCGGCAAAACAGTTGTCAACATTTTTCTTTTAACATTGCCCCCCCCCCATTGTGGTCTCTAAAACAGCTGAACTTCTTTTTGCTAAAACTGTCCTAAAATGTTAACTTGAGGCAGACACCCATAAAGGAAAATTTTGACCTAAACAGTGAAACGTTTAGCGAAGTTAGGAGCAATAGAAAACAGTGTCTTAGAATGGAAAGTGTTCGGCAACCCTAGCTATAGCTGTTGTTCTCAGCTTTGCCTATATTGACACACTCAGATGAATATAATCCATTATTTGAAATCCCAGTAAGCTAAAATATGAATCTTGCTTCCAAATCTCTCTCATTGCTCTGCTGAAAAGGTCAAATGACTCAACTTACTATGGAGGGAGTCTGGCTTAACCTGTTTTATATTAAGGGATATCCTAATGTGGTATCCAGTCCTGTCTCTAACTTTCATGGGTGACCATCACAATTTGATGCATTTATCCTGGAGAGAGAGTGTGTAGTTTATTTTTCATTAGTTATTTCATATTTGTTTTGATAGTTTGAAAAAAAGCTAAAATGAGATGTAATGAGTAGTAACTATTTTTTGAGTGCAAGATTGCCAGCTGAGCTAAAATATGTACACACATACTGCATTTCATGGCAAGCTGATGCCTGGGTTGGGTAAAGAGATCCCATAACCCCAAAGAAATGCAGTGAGGTTGGAAAAAATTGAATGTCTATACTCAGCAGAAGCTCCTATTGCGGAATGTGGTATGATTCATTTGGGCTTCTTTAATAATGTTTTTCAGAGCAAAGGCAGAATCTTCCAGTTATGTAACTTACTTACTTATTTTGACTTACGCACTCCTTCTTCATCCTTTGGTTTAGTGGGCACTTGAGTTACATGGTGTTCTTGTTCGGAGGCTCTTGCAGGAGAGTGGAGCTCTTTTGGTACCTCCTTGGTGAGGTAGGATAGCTTGCTAACTAAGGGTAGTTAGCACAGGTGATGATTTTTTAAAAAAAAAGTGAGGTTCTTTCTTAATCGTGTTTATATTTTGATCATTTTGTGCATATCTGCGTGTTAAAAGTGGGCCTACAACTGGGCCAATATATCTGACAAGACCCTTCCTCTCTCTTGAAGCAAGTTGGACCCTGGCAGCCTAGGCTCTGCTCTCAGCAGGTGCCCCATCTTCACTTTTGACGTGTGGGCTGAGTCACTCATTAAAAATGAAGATGTACAGAGATGGTCTTGTGTGGTTGCAGGGGAAATAAGCTTGTCACAGTGCTGGTGTGTCTAACAATTCCATGTTCCTGCTGACTGCGGACGCTGCTTCCTATCGTCGCCTATATTGTGGTACAGCTTCCATCACTGCAGGAGAGCATCTGTGCTCGACTGGCGCTGAGAGGATTCTGTCAAAATGAGGAATCTACCAGAAGGTGGTTCTGAGGTCAAGGGCATGAAGGTGGGGAAGAGCTATCTCTTTAAGATCTTTGTCCAGGATGCTTGTAGGAGATTCTCTCTCCTCCTCTCTGTCCTGGCCGTAGGGACTCCTGCCTATATGTGGTGATTGAGATAATGCTGTTTTTTTCTGTGTTGGGACATAGTTGACATTGAGAGCAGAATTCCAAGGGGAACACATGGTGTATGTGAAGATTGCATCCAAGTCTGTAGTTGGGGAATGGTGAAAATGCTGATTGCCAAGAGCTGAGGAGGCTCTGTCCAACCAAAAGGCCTAGATACTTAATTTTTTAAAATCTAAGTGGAAGTGTAGATGGGGTTCAGAAAAGCTGGTAAAGTTATAACTTTCAACCTGAAATTTATTTTTCTCTCTCAGAATTTTTGTCATTTGGGAGTAGTCTAAAAAGCAAGCTTTGAAAGGCTAGTGATCTGTTTAAAGTATTCAACCACAATGAGTCTATAATTATAACATCTGACATGTTTAAAAATTTTCATATGCAATGGTTAAATTGTAGCAATTCCTTTTAGAAAATGAACTTTTTAAAAATGAGTCGCACCGTGCAATGTATTTCTGGGTCCATTTCTTCTTGAAAGTGGCAGTGTAATTATGATAAAATTACTTGACTAGACTTATTGTATTAAAACTGTAACTAAATTCTTTCTTTCTTCAGGCCTCTATCATCTGTAAGAGGATTCTTCACTCCCTTCACTGAAGGAAAAGAGGCCTTGTGGAAGAACTGGCTGACTTTTATTAGACTAATTGGGAAGTTCTAGGCTTGTAAACATTTCACCATCAACATTGTGTGTGGTAAATCATATGGTTTCCTTCTGGTTTTCTCAACTACTTAGCATATCTCAGTGTTGTGTATTCATCCCAAATAAGGATTTTTTTTTCTTACAGTGCCTGAAGGTATTTTTACTAGCATTTATTCAGGAATGAACAGATATCTACTGGCATCTCAGTCCAAATTGTAAACCGCAAGTAGTGCGTCTATCAGATGATAGTGTAATAGCACTTTAGGGTGGGTTTTTGATTTTTGATTTTTTTGGGGTCTTAAATTTTATCGGAAAAGAGTGCTGATTGGGGAACGGTAATATTTATTTGCACTCAGCCACTTAGCAAAGAAAACAGTAAACATTACACTGAGTACTTAACGGTTATCACAAGTGGCAATCTATCTGCGTTTTGGTTCTAATACAACTAGATTCTGTTGTGTAATATCTGCACTCGTGGGTGCAAGCTTTTATCATGAGCTATTTTCTTCGGTTGGATGCTTTTTGAAGGCACGAGCCAAACATGTTAATATTACAAACAAACTAAATATTTTGAACATCCAGTACTACTGGTCGGCTTATACAAACTCTCTATTCTGTCTCGGCTATAGATAACGGGATTCTCTCTCTCCCATTCTAGCTATCAGACTTCTTGGCAGCTGTTGTCAAATGTGAGGAAAAAGTCATAAGCAGTAGTAGCAGTTTGTTTTAGGCAGACTCAAGAACACGTTCGGCCCGTAAGTTAAAATATTTTGTGTGTGTGTACTAGGTGTGATTCTGCAAGTTGCTGAACACGCTGACCATCATCCTGTAAAGCACTTAAGCATATGCTTAATTTTGAGAAACAGAACACTTCTGTGTAGCTCAAAATCTTGTCTCTTTCAGCAAAGAAGTTGGTCCAATAAACAAAATATTAACTCACTCATTTTGTCTCCTCAATTTTAAGCATGAGTGTCCTCCCCCTGAGAAAAGGAGTACTTGTGGCACCTTAGAGACTAATCAATTTATTTGAGCATAAGCTTTTGTGAGCTACAGCTCACTTCATCGGATGCTTACGAAAGCATATGCTCAAATAAATTGATTAGTCTCTAAGGTGCCACAAGTACTCCTTTTCCTTTTGCGAAAACAGATTAACACGGCTGCTATGCTGAAACCTCCCCCTGAGACTACTTAACATGCTTAATATTAAGCATCTCCTTAAGTGTTTCACTGCTCATCCCTTTGCAGGATCAAGTCTATATTCTTACTCATTTGGTTACTCAAGTTTGCAAGAAGAGAGTGGGTTTTTTGCAGGGGGACATGGCCCATGTTCCTAGCTGTGTTGTTTTCAACTCAACTTGGATGGCCTTTTGATTATGTACTGCGTGACCAGCTAATTCTTCTGTATCGCTGAAAATACAGTAGGGGAGAATGCAGTAAATGAAATGGTTTGGGGAGCCTTCTGGATGAGAAAAGTGGCATTCATAGAATCATAGAATATCAGGATTGGAAGGGACCTCAGGAAGTCATGTAGTCCAACCCCCTGCTCAAAGCAGGACCAATCCCCAATTTTTGGCCCAGATCCCTAAATAGCCCCCCTCAAGGATTGAACACTCAACCCTGAGTTTAGCAGGCCAATGCTCAAACCACTGAGCTATTTGTTTAAAGGTGTGTGGTAAACAGTTATTTACTTGTTTGCTTTACTCAGCTATAGTCCTGTGAACACAGTTGAAATGCTCTCATTTACCTTGGTAACTATTTTTTGTAGTATGTGCTCTCAAGTGGCAGACTGGTATCTATCAAGAAGACATTTCCTTTTTTGGTATTGTGTGAAAGTCTCTCCTATCTGGGGCTACAGACCAAATAGTTGAACCAAACAGTGATAGCTGACATTTTTGGCTAAAGCTGGCATATTTTTGAAGAGTCGTGGAATTTGCTGTTTAGAAGAGGAATCTGATGTCTGGAAGCAGAAATCACATTCAATCTCTAGAGTTAACAACAGTTTCTTTGAACTGTTGCTGAAGATCTTAAGTGCTTTTAAAATTCGTTATAGATCTGAACTTTCAAAAACCTTAAATCCCTTTTCACTAGATAATCAGAGGAGACTTTATTCTGTCTCCGGCCTGTTGAACTGTGCACCTTTTCTGGGAGTGTTCCCTTTATCAGTTGGTGTACATTTGAACTTAGAAACTGCTGATCCTTACAAATTTGAGTGTCATGAATTTGTTTTGATACGTGACTGGATGAAAACTGCTACTGTCACAGTATTAAGAGAACAGCCTTGGTCAGCTCCATAACTCTGCTGGATGGTTTGGGATTAAATAAGGGCTCATTGACATCATTGTAACGACTACAATAGTCTGCTAAAATAAAAGATTAAGGAACCATGGAGTGTAGTGACTTGTTGCTTTGACAGATTCCTCTGTTGGATGGGAACAGCGGGTGTCTTCTCCCTGCTCTTCTTGGCAGTGAGAAAGTGCCACTCTCTCACCACAGCGGTAGATGCAACAGGGCATAAGTGTACAATTTTAGAGTACTTGGCTGGTGATGTTGCCAAGTCTCAGCCCTCCACATCATCAGTGCCTATAACGTTCTTATGGGCTCGCCACTATGTAACTCTCTTGTGCAGTAATTAACTCTCTCTGCATTTTTTAAAAATGTGTTCTGTAACTTGTTCTCTGCTGAGACAGTTAGCATCTCAGTTGCATGCCTTCAGCTACCATATTATACTGAAAACTTGCATATTTACCTTTATTCCCAGCGTAACTTCTTCAGTTTAATCCCACAACCTTGCTTGTCTCTCTGACGACATCTTGGAATGCCTTGCCATCAACTCAAACCTGATGTTGTCATAACTGAACTCCTTGATCTTATCTCCACTATTCCTCCTCACCTTTTTCTGTTGCTTTTCACAAGGCCACCACCCTCTCAGTCATTCGGGCCCATTACCAGTGTTTTCTGCCATACATGTCTCAGGCATATCTAAAATCTGCTGCTGCTTCCTCTCTAATCTTTCCAAGAGCCAACCTTTACTCTTAGTCCACATTTGAAACTTTACTGCAGGCCCTTATTTCCTATCTTGACTCCTGCATTACCATCCTCTTAGGTTTCCTGACATTATTAGTCTGTGTTATACACATTTTAAGTAAACAACCTTGCCAGCTGTATACAGCTAGTTTCAACAGCCAAGTAAACACAACGTTACCCTCCTCCTTCCTGCTTTTGTTTGTGTATGTCTACACCGCTTTTTGGAGTGAGCTTCCCAGCTGGGGCTAGCTTGGCTCACGCTAGCACTCGAAACATAGCTGTATAGATGGCCCTTTGAAGTTGCAGTTCGGTTTGGAATCTGGGCTCTGAAGCCTAGGCTTGGGGTTGACTTCACAGCCTGAGCTGCCACTTCAGAGCACTGTTTGTCCAGTTATTTTTAGAGTGCTAGTGTGGACCTCCTAACCCCCCACATCTGTTGACCTGGGCTGGGAGGCTCACTCCACAATGCTGTGTAGACATACCCTCCTACTGTCATTGGATATTTTTTTAACTTTGGGGACAGAACCAAGCTCTTACTATGTGTTCGCTCGGTGCCTAAAACGATGGCGCCCTTCCTGACTTGAGTCTCTAGGTGCTGTTGTCATAAGTACTAATGATATTTTGGTAAATAATGGCTGCTTCACTTTTAAAAAAATATTTTACATTCTTTTATACTTAAAAGGAACTACTTAAGTATTGTTAAATGTTTGTTGTTACATTGTTACTCCCAATGCACTAAGCGAAGTGCATGTAGAAACACGATTAACCCAAAATAATAAATAACTAAATTAAAAGCCCACTTTTAGCAAGTGTGTATTTACTGCACATCTTATTCAAGCCCTTAGAATACATTTCCATTGTACTAAACAAAATTGGGGAAGAGGGGAGATTTGAAGAAAAGTTAATGGTTTTTAACTTTCAAAAGAGAAAATATTATTTTCTAAATTCTGTGGTTTTTCTTTTTAATTTCTTATCAAATTGAAGCAGCTACTTTTGAGTAGGTTGTATTTACAGTAATTGAGGTAGAGTTGCAGGAAATACTCCCATTGGCAAATGAAATGATCTTATGATAAACTTTATGTAATATGAGCATCCTATCTGGGCGAGAATGCAGAAAAACGGAAATCTTAAAATGGGGGAAAAAAACATAAACAGGCAAATACTTAATTTTGCATTTAAAGTGGTCCGTGTAATCCAGTCAAGTGAAATAAGGTTTGGATTAAACTATTCAATGTAAAATTTCAAATAGGAACTTTTTGTTCGTTTTTGTTTTTGACAAGTACAGTCCATTGCTTTCAACTTGGGGACTTGCATCTGGTCCGGCAGGGAGAAGAGGCTAGTCTGAGAGGGACACAATTTGTACTGCTTTAATTTAATTAGCCCCCTGGCTAAAAATGTCTTGCTATCAAAATGAAATCTACCAGGTGTGTTTTTGTTGTTGTTGCTAGCTCTCTTCAGAAGCCGCAATTACTCTGCCTTAGCAGAGTGGAAAGACAGGGACAGTGTACGACAGGACAGGCATAAGGGAAATTGTGAGAGCCCACTATCAAATCACGTTTTTATTAACAAAGATAATTGGCAAAAAGTTTCAGATGGCAACGAATGAAAGCTTAGAGTTATCTGCATAGCAGGTGCTGTGAGAGCGTATCTTTATAGGGCTGATTTATTAAAAGCACTTGCCACTCTAGATCAATAAACTCTTGTCCCCAAGTAGGAATCTAAGTATTCCATTCTCCTTTAGACATCCTTTTTTACTTCCTAAGTCTCTCCCTTTTCTCTTCTAGTCTTTGCAAAAGCATTGCACATATAGGACCAGATCCTCAACTGAGATAAAATCAACATAGCTCCATTGACTTAGGCTAGTGGTTCTCAACCAGTTTACCACTGTGGTCCACAGCTGTGTGCTGACTGGGCTGCAGGTTGAGAACCACTGACTATTGGGCTAGTCTACACTGGCAACGCTAAAGCGCAGAACTCTCTTCCAGCGCTCTAAAAAACCCATCTCCACGAGGGGTGTAGTTACCAGCGCTGGTGTACTGTCTACACAGGCGCTTTACAGCGCTGAAACTTGCTGCTCTCAGGAGGGTGTTTTTTTCACACCCCTAAGTGAGAAAGTTGCAGCGCTGTAAATTGCCAGTGTAGACAAGCCCTAAGATCATCTGAGGATCTGGCCTATGTTTTCATCATTAGGTGACTGTCATCCTGAAGAAACTTCAGCTCTTAGTATTTTGTGTCCTCTTTCCTTTTTTAATCCTTCTATCCCAATTATCTACCTGGTGAAACATGAAGCCCGTTGGGTTTTTTGTTTGGTTGGGAGAAGGAGGCTATAGTACTGAGAAGATGGTTTACACAGTAATCATGGGATGTTATTAAAGCTCAAGTCGACACACCTGAGCTAGCTTTAATCTAGCCTGCTCGGATGGTGAAGCCATGGCAGCATGTGTGTTCAGTGTGGATTAGTCCTGCAAGTGATTACCCCAGGTTATGGGTGGGCTCATACACCCTCTGCAGAAGCAGGCGTTCCCATGTTTTCACAGTTCTGGGACCTGCCTATCTTGAGAAAAGCGAGCTCAGGTATGTCTACTTGAGCTGCAGTGACATCCTGTGATAGCAGTATAGACATAACCCGAGTGTTGCATTTCTTGCAAACAGACCAAAAATTCTGCATTGGGAAACTAATTGTTGGTCTACATATGGGAACTTAACCTTGTTGCCTCGATTTTTTTTATGC